AGGGTTTCATCATGTTGGACAGGATGGTCTTGGATCTCTTGACCACATGATCCGCCTGCCTCAGCCTCCTAAAGTGCTGGGATTACAGGCGTGAGACACGGCGCCTAGCCAGACCTATCTATTAGAGAGTGAATAAGAGTCCACCTTTCCAGATGTTTCTGTCAGAAACAGGGAAATGGAGCTGAAACTTCAGAAATACAACTCAAGAGGAGATTGGGAAAAATGTATCAATTAAGTGCCAGCCCTCTTTTCATAAACAATGTATCCTTTAAAAAATAAAGTATGAAGATGAAATATGATAAAAACAAAAAGAATTCATGTTAATATTGTAGTGGTGGTGGAGGGATGTCCATTCCCCCACTTCAAATTATCTAGACCCCTAACTGTATCACTTTTGGACGCATTTTTAAATGATACACTTCTAGCGTTTTGCACATGCTTCGTAATTTTCTTTCTTTTCTTTCCCTAACCCCACCCACATTTGAACGGTTAGTTGACCGCTGCTTAAGTCCACAAGACACACAGCTGAGGCTAAAATTCCACCACTAAGGTCATTAACGATTTCTTTGTACTATCACATTAGATTTATGAGAGTTATGCTCATCAGCAGTCTCTCATGCTTATTACTGGTTAATTCCATTTTGCTACTAACTTTTCTAAACGCAGCAAGACAGTTACCTATCTTTGTAAGTACTAAGGTACAAAAAAAGACACTGTTGAAGCCTGAAAGCAGTACCTCTGTCATTTGCCAGTCCAATTTCAGGCAAGTTACTTTTAGTGATAACAACCCTTTGAGACAGGTATTATTATTACCCTCAGTTTGCAGGTGAAAAACCTAAGGCACAGGGAAGAGACCTGACGAAGCACACACTGACAGCTCAGATACAAACCCAGGCAATCAACTTTCAGGGTCTGGGCCCCAACCACTGCACAATGTCACCTCTTGTCATTCTTGCAAGCATGGGCTGTATTAAATCAAACACCCCAAAGTCCAGGCCTGCCTCTATGACAGTGACCACAGCATAGCAGTTCTTGTGCTTTCTGAGATTTCAGGCTCTTAGAGAATGTGAATAAAATAACAGCCCCTCCTCCCAGAATGTTTGGCAAGCAATTTTAGGACATTCATGGAGCCTTTCAGGACCTCTGTTAAGTCTCGGTTTAAACACTTCACTAATTACCACTGAATTCTCCTTCTTTCCGTCTCCCTGACTCCACATACCCACACCCACTGCGTAATACAGTCCTCTTTCATTTGGTTAATATACTATAGTTTTGTACTATTGGTTAACCTGACTTAATGAGCAGTGGCCAATGGTCACCAACCACTAAAAGGCTCCAGGAGACAGATAAAGAAGAGTAATCTCAGGGAAATGAAGGTGAGACAGAGTAGAGAATGGGGCTTGGCCCCACTCCACTAATGTGTTTTTCCATACATTCTCAATGACCGCCAAACCTTTTTTTTTTTTTTGAGACGGAGTTTCGCTCTTGTTACCCAGGCTGGAGTGCAATGGCGTGATCTCGGCTCACCGCAACCTCTGCCTCCTGGGTTCAGGCAATTCTCCTGCCTCAGCCTCCTGAGTAGCTGGGATTACAGGCACGCGCCACCATGCCCAGCTAATATTTTGTATTTTTAGTAGAGACGGGGTTTCACCATGTTGACCAGGACGGTCTCGATCTCTCGACCTCGTGATCCACCCGCCTCGGCCTCCCAAAGTGCTGGGATTACAGGCTTGAGCCACCGCGCCCGGCAAACCGCCAAACCTTACAGCACCACCCCAACTGGCACCATACCTGCTGACAGACCTTGCAGGTATTGTATGAAGAAACCATAGGCAGCACCCTGCCATAAATCTTACTCAAAGTTAGCTCTACAAGTCACATGAGCTCAAGGAGACTGACAAATCCTAATCTCTAGTCTCATTATAATACAAACTTATCACCCAAGAAGGGGCTTATCTGCCACTTTCTGATTGTGTGTTAGCACGATTCCTTACTGTGTCTGCACACCCCGCATTCCACCCACACATGCAGTGATGCTCACCTACCTCGTCAATCATGCACTCCCCTCGGAGAGCCAGACGGAGAACCCTCCCTCCCTTAGGTCCAACCTTTCTGGGCATAAGGATTTTTTTTGAGATGAGGTTTTGCTCTTGTTGCCCAGGCTGCAGTGCAATGGCACGATCTCGGCTCACTGTAACCTCTGGCCTCACCAGGTTCAAGTGATTCTCCTGCCTCAGCCTCTTGAGTAGCTGGGATTACAGGCGACCACCACCACGCCTGGCTAATTTTTTGTATTTTTGATAGAGATGAGGTTTCACCATGTTGGCCAGGCTTGTCTCAAACTCCAGACCTCAGGTGATCCACCCACCTCGGCCTCCCAAAGTGCTGGGATGACAGGCGTGAGCCACTGCACCCAGCCCATGAATTTTAATACAACCTGGTCTGGGAAACTTGCTTGGCCTTGTGTCAATTTCTATTACACAGGAGGCTCTGAACCTGTGGTCGGTAATAGATGGAAAAACGAACAAATGAAAGATTTCTATCCAGAAACTAGAACACAAAGGAGACCAAAATGTTTCTCCTGAAGGTTAAAAGTGGGCAAATTTGGGGGTAAAACAGCATAGTTGCTTTTATAGCTTTAAAAGTTGATATAAAAAGCTCAAGTTCGGCCGGGCGCGGTGGCTCAAGCCTGTAATCCCAGCACTTTGGGAGGCCGAGGCGGGTGGATCACGAGGTCGAGAGATCGAGACCATCCCGGTCAACATGGTGAAACCCCGTCTCTACTAAAAATACAAAAAAATTAGCTGGGCGTGGTGGCGCGTGCCTGTAATCCCAGCTACTCAGGAGGCTGAGGCAGGAGAATTGCCTGAACCCAGGAAGCGGAGGTTGCGGTGAGCCGAGATCGCGCCATTGCACTCCAGCCTGGGTAACAAGAGCGAAACTCCGTCTCCAAAAAAAAAAAAAAAAAAAAGCTCAAGTTCTCTGTACACTGCAAAAATATTCTTTCTTGAATAACATTTTTTTCTTCTACTTTCAGAGGATTTCAGTACTACAGAGCAAAGATTTCCATTTGAACCAAAAATTTCGGATAAAAAGAGCCAAAGTGGCTGGGCATGGTGGCTCACACTTGTAATCCCAGCACTTCAGGAGGCCAAGGCAGGTGGATCACCTAAGGTCAGGAGTCCAAGACCAGCCTGGTGAAATGCCACCTCTACCAAAAAAAAACCAAAAAATTTGCTAGGCATGGTGGCGGGCACCTGTAATCCCAGCTACGCAGGAGGCTGAGGTGAGAGAATTGGTTGAACCCAGGAGGCAGAAGTTGGAGTGAGCTGAGATCGCACATTGTACTCCAGCCTGGGCGACAAGAGCAAAACTCCATCTCAAAAAATAAATAAAAAAGAGCCAAAGCAATCGACATAGGAGCAGAGTCCACATTCCTGGGACGTGGGCCAGATTCACAATCACATCAATAACCCTAGCTTGGTTTTTAGCCAGAGGCTTTCAAGGAAGCCAAGATAATTCAGAGCCATGCTAGGAATCTGGCTCATCCCTGGGACTTAAATTCAGGCTTACCTGAACACCCACAGGATACTGAATTGTACACTTAGTGGCTAACCTTTAGTTAAAGGAGAGTGATTTTTCATTTCCCTAGAGATTAAAGATAAATAACTTGTAGGGACAATGAAGTCCCCACCTGGATGTAGGGGAATCAGGTATGTCCTGCACATCTACACAGCACAAAAATGAATAAGCCTTGTCCTGCACATGAAACGATTTATAGTCTGGGGAAGTTCAGGGAGGGCAGGACAACAGCAAGCATTTACAAAGTACCTGTTATTTAACAGTCACAGCAGTAAACATTTCCTGTGTGTTATTTCATTTAATTTCTAAGCCAGTGTGATGAGAAATGAAATAATAGTTCCATTTGAAGATGAGAAACCTGAAGCTTGGATAGGTTCTACCACTACTATGAAAAAGTTATACCTGGAACTCTGGCGAGTCCAACTACAAAATCGTTAATACAGGCTGTGCTCTCGCCATCTTCTGGTTGGGTGGCTAGGAACCAAAGATCTCAGACACATTTTTGATGTGATTAAATAGTAACAGAGAGCAGAAAGGTTGTCTAGATCAGTGATACTGTCCTCTGACAGGGACTTTCATGTCCCCTTATTTAATCTTCACTTCAGTTGGGTATGGTGGCTCGCGCCTGTAATCTCAGCATTTTGGGAGGCCGAGGCAGGAGGACTGTTTGAGCTTAGGAGTTCAAGAACAGCCTGGGAAACATAGCTAGACCTTGTTTCTACTAAAAAACAAAAAAACTAGCCAGGCACAGTGGCATGTTCCTGTCATCCCGAATACTCAGGAGCCTGAGGTGGGAAGATTGCTGGAGCCGGGGAGGTTGAGGCTGCAAGCCACGGTTGCACCACTGCATTTCAGCCTGAGCCTGGGCAACAGAGCAAGACCCTGTCTCAAAAAAAAAAAAAAAAAAAAAAGAAAGAAAAAGACAAAAAGAATCTTCACTTCTATATGTTTTCTTTTTCTTTCCTTTCCTTTTTTTTTTTTTTGCAGACACTGTCTCACCCTGTTGACTAGACTAGAATGCAGTGGCATTATCATGGCTCACAGCAGCCTCGATCTCCTAGGCTCAAGCAATCTTTCCACCTCAGCCTCTCAGGTAGCTAGCACTACAGATACACACCACCATGCCCGGCTAATTTGTGTGGGTTTTTTTTTTTTTTTTTGGGTAGAAACAAAGTTTCACCATGTTGGCCAGGCTGATCTCAAACTCCTAGCCTCCAAGGATCCACCCACCTTGGCCTCCCTCATGCTGGGATCATAGGCATGAGCCACCAGGATCTCCCTATGTTTTCATTTTTTGCAAGCAAATCAAAGAATCCCAAATTCACAAATGGGCTTTTAATTCCATTAAATTAACAAAATTAGGGATTCCCAGGGGCGGCCGGAGGTGTGGACTTAGCCTCCCAGACTGCCCTGGGAAGATGTTCTACCATATCTCCCTAGAGCATGAGATCCTGCTGCACCCGCGCTACTGCGGCCCCAACTTGCTCAACACGGTGAAGCAGAAGCTCTTCACCGAGGTGGCGGGGACCTCGCTGTAACCACCACTGACAATATCGGTGCTGGTATGATCCAGCCAGGCCGAGGCTTCGTCCTCTATCCAGCTAAGTACAAGGCCATTGTTTTCCGGCCCTTTAAAGGAGAAGTCGTGGATGCTATTGTCACTCAGGTCAACAAGGTTGGACTCTTCTCAGAAATTGAAGCAAACCTATGTCTTGCTTCATCTCTCGACATTCTGTCCCTTTAGAGATGGAGTTTGATCCTAACTCCAACCCACCATGCTACAAAACAATGGATGAGGATACTGTGATTCAGCAGGATGATGAGATCTGCTTAAAGACTGTGGGGACCCGTGTGGACAAGAATGACGTTTTTGCTATTGGCTCCCTGATGGATGATGACTTAGGGCCTGTAAGCTGAGCCTGGTGGCCTCCTACCTTGGTCCTGATCTAGGAAGTGTGACTGTCACACTTACTGTGCTGTCCAGAGGTCCAGTCTGGCTGCTGCTGCGGAGGCCAGGCAGGCAACTCATCCCCGGAAGGTTCTTCTTTTGGCTCAGCTACTGCTTTCTGATTTCTCAGTATGCGTGCTATGTAAAAAAGCCCTTGGTTCTCATGGAAGTGTTATCTTTTTTTTTTTTTTTTTTTTTAAGCAGGAACAGTAACTCTTTAAAAAGGCTGTATAGTTGACTGCTTACTACCCCCTCTCTTCCTTAGACTGATGCCTCTACTAGCCTCAGCCACCCAGGGGATCTGACTAGCCCATCTGTCAAGGTTTAATGTTGACCTCAATGAAGTCAAGGCTCTGATGTTGGGTCTTTGGCTTCCAGCAAATGACAACATCATTCAGTGGCATTCTGAGTCCTGATCTAATTCCAGAATGTTTGCCCTTCTCCTGCCCTTAAAAGTAACCAAGAGTATAACTGGGAAAGAAGGGAAGAGGAGACAGCAGACAGGGAGAGATGAACAAGAGGCGAGTAATGACACAGACTGCGGGATCTCAACACAGCCCTTCCTAAGATGGGTATCTAAACAAAAGTGTATCACTATTCTAAACTGAACTGCAAATGGAAAAGGGCTCAGAATCTAGTTAAGGTAACACAAAAATGTGTGAAATGTCTACAGGATTAAACAAACATGTCACTTTTCCCTGACACTAATAAAAAAATTAATAAAATTAATTTACTTATATTAACAAAAGTCAAGAAACTTGATTCTATCATCTGTGGGTATTTAAAATACCTTTAAAAAAGGTTAAACATTTTTACATATCACAGACTCTGACTCATTTTCTACTTTTAAGCTGACAAAAATAACTTTCCTTTAAGCCATGTAAAACATTTTCCTTATGAGCTGAGGCTAACCAAAATAAAACTCAAATCCTTTTATTTTTGTATTTTTTATTTTTTGAGAATGGGGTCTCACTATATTGCCGAGAAAGGTCTCAAACTCCTGGACCCAAGCCATCCTCCTGCCTCCACCTCCCTAAGTGTCAGGATCCTTAAAAGTGGCAATGTAACACAAAGGATCTCCTCAATGTCACCATTAACATATAGTTTGCTTAATGACATTTCACTTACTTCTGCCTAAGGAAATACCTTTCACAGAACTACATTCATTAAATCCGAAAATGTTACATAAAACAGACAATCTCGGCCAGGCGCCATGGCTCACGTCTGTAATCCGAGCACTTTGGGAGGCCAAGAAGGGTGGATCACAAGGTCAGGAGTTCAAGACCAGCCTGGCCAAGATGGTTAAAACCCTGTCTCTACTAAATATACAAAAAATTAGCTGGGCGTGGTGGCAGGCGCCTGTAATCCCAGCTACTAGGAAGGCTGAGGCAAAGAAATGCATGAATCTGGGAGGTGGAGGTTATAGTGAGCCGAGACCGTGCCACTGCACTCCAGCCTGGACAACAGAGCAAGACTCTGTTTGGGAAAAGACAAAAAAACAACCAAAAAAAAAACAGACAATCTGTTACGCAAAATTTGAGGCAACTTTATTCTAGAAAGATCCTATGCCAATTTATACTTATCTTTATAAATTCTCATAAAGCATAAAAGTCTACCTTTACAGACAGGCTTCTAATAAATCTCCACTACTATTTATAATTATAATAGGTTTTCTTTTAGAAGTACTTTGTAGTGTTGGATGACTCTGCAACAGCACTGATTAATGTAACTCCACAAGGTATCCTGATCGCCAGAATATATCATGACATTATTAAAGCAAATCAAACAGACTGGTAAATTAATTTATGGCCAATCTCATTTCTTGCAATAAAATTCTCTCTTTCCCTTCCAGCTTCCTGGAAAGCAGCCATAAAGTAGATAAGCTTTGAAGTCAGGCCTTCTAACTCACCACTTGAGCAAGGAAAATAATCTTCTCGGACCTCTCCTCCTTACGTATTATTTTTTTATTGAGACAGAGTCTCACTCTGTCGCCCAGGCTGGAGTGCAAGTGGCGTAATTTCAGCTCATTACAACCTCTGCCTCCTGGGATCAAGCAATTTTCCCACCTCAGCTTCCTGAGTAGCTGGAATTACAGGCATGTGCCACCATCTCCGGCTAATTTTTTTATTTTTAGTAGGGACGGGGTTTCGCCATGTTGGCCAGACTTGTCTCGAACTCCTGACCTCAGGTAATCCACCTGCCTCAGCCTCGCGAAGTGCTGGGATTATAGGCGTGAGCCACCGTGACCAGCCACATCTCTTGTCTTATATAAAATGGGAAAATAATACCTACCACAAAGGGTTATTGTGAAGAGATAAATGCCCAATAGATACGAACTCCCACTCACCAATTCTCTTCATGCTGTAAAATTTCATTATCAGATAATTATCTTTCCTGACCCCTCATCTCTGTGAATAGAAATCAGCTAATCACAGATTTCTAGTCAATGATGCTTATACAGAACGTGCTTTCCACACTGTAAAAGTTAGGAACAGCAGGACGACTTCTGTCAGTTTAGATAATGCCATGTAACATAAAATAGGGCTGTTTCAACACAAACTAGGAGAAATCGTGACAGGCAGTTATTCTTGCTCTTAAATTGCTGCTAGAGAGGATGGCTTACTTAACATGTGTTGCTTCAATTTGTTGGAAATTGCAGAAAAAATTGATGGGGGAAGTTTTACTAAAAAGCTATATTCCTGAATACCAGATTTCTGTGACCCATGTTTCCAAGGGGAGATTGCCTCTAATGGACTTACCTTGATTTTTTTTCCAGGCTAAAGTAACTCTGTCATACTCAGCAATGTAAGAATTTTGATCGATCACTGTCATGAGCCACAGTGAATGAAATCAATCCCTCTTGTAGCTAGTGACACTCCTTCACACATATTTCAAAGACAGAAACAGAAACAACCACCAGGCTGAAGAAAGTTTGGGTTTGCCCTCCAAATTCCACACAACATTTCTAACTTCACATTCTGATTCTGCTCTTGACCTGCCCTTAATCAGAAACGGAGACCACCTAAATGTTTTGGACTCCTTGCAGAGAATATAATCTACTGGATCCATTTTTCGACAGGGTTTCCTGACATGATAGGTAGTCTCCATTCCTCCGCACTGTAGAGTTTATCCTCATATTAAGCTGGACCATCAGAAAAGTAGTTATGGGCCGGGTGCGGTGGCTCACCGGACCCGGTAATCACAGTACTGTGGGAGGCCGAGGCGGACAGGTCACTCGAGGCCAGGAGTTGAGAGGCGGAAACCCCTCTCTATTAAAATACGAAAATCAGCCGGGCATGGTGGCAACAGGCCTGTAGTCCCAGCTACTTGGGAGGCTGAGGCAGGAGGCAGAGGTTGCAGGGAGCCAAGATCACTCCACGGCACTCCAGCCTGGGTGACAGAGTGAGACCATCTCAAAAAACAAAAAACAGAAAAGTATACATGTATAATCTAGGTCCCTAGAGAGTGTTAACTACTTAACTGAATTGTACTTCAATGTAACTTCCTTATCTTTATCCAGAATCACATTAAGAGACAGTTTACTACATTTGATACTGGCAACATTTTCTACTGTATTTCTGTGTCCTATGTTACAAAGCTCTAAGTGGGAAAAAAGAAATCTTTTAAAGAACTATTCTCCAACCAAAAGAAATTAGCATAGCTTCTAAATCATGGTGTGGGGGCACAGCATGGGGGAAGACTCCTAGAACTAAGTACGCCCTCTGTTTTATAGTGTATGTATGTATGTGTCATGTATGTATTTGGCTTTGCCAAAAACCAAATTCACAGCTCAGTGCTTGTATAACTGAAGAAGATCTCACAGACTACTTATGTACTTATCTATGATCTGTTATTCCTACTATAGAAATGTACAATTTTCCTACTACTGATTTCATAATTTACTATTTGGATTTTTCCATTATGCATCAATATAAGCCACATTAAATTATATGTAATGAGGAATTTTTTTAAAAAAGTATTACTATTTTCATCCAGTATGAACACACTGCCAATTTCTCACTATCTAACAAAACAAGGCAGACGTGGTACCACGTTGCAGTCCCAGCTCTAGGCAGGAGGATCCCTTGAGCCCAGAGTTTGAGGCCATACTGTGCTAAAATCATGCCTGTGAACAGCCACTGTACTCTAGCCTGGGCAACACAGCGAGAACCCATTTCTAAAAAACAAAACAAAAACTCAAACATTCTATATTTTTGCTTAACATAAACTGCCTCTCTGGTTTCCTCATCATTCAAATTCTGTCTACCCTTGAAAAACCAATTTAACTCTCTACTTCAAAATGTCTTCACTGACTGCTGTGTTTACAGATCACTGACCTTAAAAATTTATACATTTAGCCTGTGCCACAAAGTTGAACACTTAAAAATACACTATCCTATACTGTTTGACGATTTTGTCCTTTATTATCATTATTCCAACCAGATTACAAACACTTTGGGATATACTTCCTTTGTCCTAGACTTGTGTGAAAAATGGACTAAAAAAATACTCAAATATTTCATAGCTACCACTATCTACTATGACGAAACTTAAAGGGTTACAATGTATAGATGTGTATGTATAGATGACAAGCTCACTGTATTCTCTATGTATACATGACAACTTCACTGGGGAGAGGAGACACTTAAAATAAACACATAATAGGCTGAGTGCAGTGGCTCATACCTATCATCCTAGCACTTTAGGAGGCCAAGGTAGGCGGATCACTTGAAATCAGGAGTTCGAGACCAGCCTGGCCAACCTGGTAAAACACCGTTTCTACTGAAAATACAAAAATTAGCCAGGCATGGTGGCATGCGCCTGCAATCCCAGCTACTCAGGAGGCTGAGGCAGGAGAATAGCTTGAACCTGGGAGGTGGAGGTTGCAGCGAGCCAAGATTGCGCCACTGTACTCCAGCCTGGGCGACAGAGCAAGGCTGTCTCAGAACACACACACACACACACACACACACACACACCCCCACCCACAACACAAAATAAAATAAGAACTAAAAATAAGTTCAGAGGAATTTAAAAAATACAACATTCCCATTCCAGCAAGTGTAGCTTAAAAATACAAATAAATAAAAATACAAAGTTACCAGTATATTTTGAGGCTAGCTCAAATGACAAAAGAAATAAAGAAAATAAGACGTCATATGAC